GTATAAATTTTTTAGTTCGGCATGATCTATCTTTTGAGCAATTGGAAAACCTGTGTATTTCAGTTAATAAACCTAGAGCCAAGCCTTTTCTTATTACCACTTGGTACAGGCCTCCTAATTCGCCTGTAGCAATGCTTAATTTTTTTGAAATTCTTCTAGGTATGCTCGATTCCGAAAATATCGAGTATTACCTCATGGGCGACTTCAACTGTGATTTGAGCTCTACAGTCTTAGATCATGATTCGAAGTCACTCATGGATATTGCCGATTTATATAATCTTTCTCAGCTTATAAATGAACCTACTCGAATCACAGACTCCTCCTCAACATTGTTAGATCATATTTTCACAAATACTCCTGACAAGGTTGTTTGCTCTGGTGTTTCTCATGTGAGTATAAGCGATCATAGTCTTATTTACGCCTTTCGCAAACTTTCTGTGGGTTCATCGACGGGGGTACATTCTTCAATAAACTACAGAAAGTTTAAAAACTTTGATTCTACTAAATTTCGTAATGATATTAGTCAACAGAGTTGGAACTATATCAATCAGTACGAAAACCCTATTGACATGTGGCATGCTTGGAAAGCCACATTCAATTCTGTCGCAGATAAGCACGCCCCAATTCGAGCTAAGCGCGTTAAGGCTATTAAATCGCCTTGGATCACATCTCTTTTGAAAGATAAAATGCATAGGCGAGATGGCCTAAAAATTAAAGCAATTCGTTCCAACGATACTCAAGATTGGCTTTCTTTTAAGAAAATGCGTAATTTTGTTAATTCTGAAATCTTCTACGCAAAGCAAGCCTATTTCAAAAATTCTTTCAATGATAATAAAGACAATCCTAATAAGACCTGGAAGATCATTAATGAACTTACTTCTAAAAATAGGAAAAGCCCTCACATTGGCGAGGTTGATTTGAATGGCGTATTAATTAATGACCCTAGCAAAATTGCTGATGCGTTTAACGATCACTTTTCAAACATCGGACCAGACCTTGCAGATAAAATTAATCTTAATTATAGCAATCGGTCTTATCTTGATTATTTACCTAACCAAAATAATGCTATTTTTCAACTGAGGGAAATAAGTATTCCAACCGTTTACGCATTACTGTCCACGTTAAGCACTTCTAAAGCAACAGGTTTAGACAAAATATCTTCTAGGTTAATTAGAGAATGCTCTGACTTAATTGCAGAATCCCTCTGTCTTATTTTTAATCGTTCTATCACTACAGGCATATTCCCAAACGAATGGAAATGTGCTAAAGTTATTCCTATATACAAACAAGGCAAACGCAATTGCGTTGATAACTATCGTCCCATTTCTATTGTTCCTATTGTGGCTAAGGTTTTTGAAAGGGTAATTTATGATCAGCTATATACATTTATAGCTGAAAATGAATTATTAACTAATTATCAATCGGGATTTCGAGGCCTACATTCTACTGTCACCTCTCTTCTTGAGGCTACCAACGAATGGGCTTATAATATTGACAGTGGTAATGTAAATGCTGTAATGTTTCTTGATCTTAAAAAAGCGTTCGACACTGTAGATCATGAAATATTGCTGAACAAACTTAATGCATATGGAATCAAGGGAACTGCGGGTAACTGGTTAAGATCGTATCTAAATGAACGTAATCAAAAGTGTTTTGTTAACGGTCATTTCTCCTCGAATCGATTACTACAATGTGGGGTTCCTCAGGGAACTATATTAGGCCCGCTTTTATTTTTAATCTATATTAATGATCTTCCTAATTGTCTAATACACTCTCGGGCACGAATGTTTGCTGATGACACTAATTTGACATATGCAAGTAATAACATACATGAAATTAATCATAATCTTAACGAGGATCTTGCTAATGTCAGTGAATGGTTATCAGCAAACAAACTTACTTTAAACCAGACTAAAACTGAATTTATGCTAATTGGCTCTCGCCAAAGAATAAACACTTTTCAATCTACTCCTTTATTAGTAATAAATAACGTTCCAGTTAAACAAGTCTCTCATACAAAATCACTCGGCGTACACATTGATGAGAACTTATCCTGGAATGTTCATATTGAGAAACTGAGTAAAAAAGTTGCTTCCGGTATTGGTGCACTAAAACGCATTAGACCTTATGTTCCTTTTACCACAATGCAACTTATTTACAAGTGCTTAGTTCAACCATATTTCGACTACTGCTCTGCTGTCTGGGATAGTTGCAGTAGTTATCTAGTTAACAAATTGCAAAAATTACAAAATCGTGCTGCCAGGGTATTGACATCTTCTAGTTATGATACAAATGCCGATTATCTTTTCGAAAGTCTTGGATGGAAAAATCTTGTATCTCAGCGTAGGCTTACCAAGGCTATCATGGTGTATAAATCCTTGAATGGTCTTGCTCCAGATTATCTTTCTAATATGTTTGTTGATCGCAATAGTATCACAAATTATGCATTGAGAGACACCAGTAACAAACTAGCTTTGTCACTACCGCGTACTAATTACTTGAAAAATAGCTTTAGTTATAGCGGTGCAGTACTGTGGAATTCTCTTCCTACTGAGTTAAGACAGGCTAGTACTTTACATAAATTTAAGTCTGACTGTAGCAACTTTATTCAATAATTTTTAAATATTTTATCTAATTTTATCAATTTAATGCACGGCACTCATGAAAAACAGGTAGTTTTGTAAATATGTATAGTATAATTTATCATATATCTAATTTCCTTTGTTACTTTATCATAAGTGTGTAAAATCCTGATGAGTCCACCGTGACTAAATAAAGTTCACAATATAGATAGATAGAACGTTTAATTGTATCAATATTTGCAGTCTTGCGACTGAATTACTATTGAATTTACAAAGTGAAAATATACGAATATATATATATTTATAAATATATGTATGTACCTATATATGTTTACATATCCTGTTTATTACTGTACATATTGTGTTGTTTCTAGTAAAAAGTCTAAAATCTAAATGTAAATGTATGTTCATAACTATTTAAAATATTAACGATCTGAAATTACCTACAAGGTTGCATTACGTGCGCAATATGGAATAAAGGAATTACTAAATCTGTTCGTGTGCATCTTGGGAAGAATTATATTTTCTGTTTGTTCTGAGATTGTTTGGTTGTAAATTTTTCGGTCGCAATAAGTCTTTTAACTTATGATCATCATTTGCTTCAATTGATGAAAATAGTTTTACACACAACTTTTCTCTTCGATCGTACAATGTTTCCAATTTTGCCTTTTTTAATGCTTCGATGTAACTCAAGTCCGGATGGATAATCCGTAGTGCCCGCTTCTGAATACTTTCAATTTCCATTGATAGGTAGTTAGGGAGACTCGAGTGGAAGACTTGACAAGCATACTCGACGACAGATCTTATACACGCCGGCGGTATAAAACTTGTATAAGGATCTAGTTTCCACTTCAGCACGTTTTAATTGCCTTAATAAATAGAGTCTCTTAGAAGCCTTTTCCACGGTATTGCTTACATGTTTGTTCCATTTCAAATCATTGGTAACTATCATGCCCAGAACGTTTGCGGATTTTACAATTTCAAATGGCTTCCCGTTTATATTTAGGGGTTCCTCAGCAAATGGTTGCGTGGTAAAGTTTATCCTCAGCTCTTTACATTCACCAGGGTTCAGTTGAAATTTGTTGTCATTCGACCATTTATTTACTTCGTCTACTTTATCTGGCAGGGAACTAACACCATCGTTTGGAATAACTTCGGAAACCGAAGTATCGTCTGCAAATTTCCACATGTTGCTAGTCGGAGATTTTGTAATACATAGATCATTTATTATTGCTAGGAATAGCCAGGGACCGATTTTCGTTCCCTGTAGAATACCGGCAGGAACTTGTAAAGCAATGTTGATTATCTTGGCAGCACTACCTTGTGCAACACAAAAATAACGATTTTCAACATTGATATGGGGGAAGGGGGGAAGAACAGTTCACATATCACTGAGAAACTCCGGATAAATGCATTTTCCAAAAATTTTTGCACAGGATTGTAGATTACATTGATATCGAAGGAACTAGATTCTGTTCCGAAATATCACATACTCGAACCGACCTGACCACGAAGCTTAGTTGGCAGAGGATTGGGCTAGTATTCGATTCCCACCTTGTGCAACACAAAAATAACGATTTTCAACATTGATATGGGGGAAGGGGGGAAGAACAGTTCACATATCACTGAGAAACTCCGGATAAATGCATTTTCCAAAAATTTTTGCACAGGATTGTAGATTACATTGATATCGAAGGAACTAGATTCTGTTCCGAAATATCACATACTCGAACCGACCTGACCACGAAGCTTAGTTGGCAGAGGATTGGGCTAGTATTCGATTCCCACCGTGGACAGACATATTTTTCAAGCTTACCCGATGTGGATACACACTCAAAGTAACATCACAAGCATTATATATATACTTCCGTTTGTGGAGACACCACGTAAATTTATTACTGATGAATAATATGTGACTTGTTCAATTCATACGCCTTTTTTATATATAAAGTGTCGTGATCTGATGGCTCGCGTCATTTGAAAGTTAATTAAACAGTGATTCTAATTAACGCGCGCGCATCCAAGACAAGAGAAATGAATTTTGTACATTAAAGAGAGCACGCCAAGTACTATGTTTTAATATAATATATTTTGTTTTAACAGCTTTATTAGGAGCAGTAACAGCTAGTTTCCAAAAGGGAAGGTATCGAACGGGTCATAAGAACCCATGCAAGGCTACCCCCATGCACATTTACAAAATAATTTACATATTACACTTAATAAAATTCATAGCTTACAACTGACTCTAGAAAGTGCTTTTACACTCTCCATATACAGTAGGTAGAACCTAAATACGGAGATTAAAAATATTAAAAACCTAATTACTCGTCTTGTGGAACGCTATAAAACTAACCAGCGTGGTCGGTTCTTCTATAGAGCTGAGAATTGAAGAAGAGCCTGCCCGAAAGCCCTAGTAAAATTGATCACCGCCAACTTAGGTAATATTCCATATTATTACTAGCCAGCGCTAGATATTTTTACTGCAATATTATAAGTTTCGTCTACTAATTTGTAATTTCCAGACAAACTCGAAGGCCTTCGCTCAAAATGTCGACGTTTTGCTTGTATTTTCCAGACAGTTGAATCGCTATCCATCTATTAAAAAGTTTATTGAAAGCGATAATATGGCAATGTAATAAATGACTTAGGGGAAAAGACAAATAGACCCCTTCTCCTGTCATACACGTTGTCAGGCAAATGTATTTTAAAAGCTCCAAAGAGAGCTTCGTATTTTTTTATGATATGCATTGCATGTACAAAAACATTCGGAAATGTATTCTTTTGTCCCCGAGCCGACGGCGTGAAGCGCCGTGCGAGGGTACTAATCCCCCCCCCGGCTATTTACACCCGGGGGAAACGAAAGCATTAGCCAAGTCTAAAGTTCATCAATGAGCGCGGGCGTGGGTTACCGTGAGCGCTTCGGTGGTTGGTGGGTGGTCATCCTCACTGATCTCAAAAATATGGCGGACTGTCATGAATAGCGGACACTGATTGGTCCAATTTAAAGTTTGCATTATAACGACTGTCGACTGTATGACGACAGCGAAATAGCAAACATTTCTTCATTTGAATATTGATAAATTTCTTGCAAATATATTTAATTTTTGCAAGATTTTGTAAATTTCAAGAAAGAAAGGGCGAAAGAATCGGCTAAAAAAAGGGAGCCGACGTCAACGAAGGTAAGTTTGTTTTAAATATTGATTTTATAATTACTTTAAAACCCGACGGCCGCTTTGGCCCTTTGGCTTTGCGTATATGAAACAACTAAACAAGACAGCATATAATTTCAGTGTATTAATAATATTGATTCCCTTTTTTATTAGGCCTATATTGAATTTTTTAAATAAAAAAGAAAGCACAATTATTTGCATGGGAGAATTTGAAATCATTTTATTGCAAACTCAAAGTTTATCGAAAAAGCCATTTTAATAATTAAAGGCAGTTTTAAATAGTTTTATAAAGAACATTTTAAAACGTTTTGCGAAGCTTTTGTGATTCTATTTTACCTTAAATTGAAGCTTATATTACGTATAATAACATACCTAACATATATATGTTGGGAAATTGATAATTTTGTAATTAAAAGTGATATTTTTAGGCGATTTTTCATTTGTAAGAATATTCTTAAAAATTATCGTGTTACCATGACAACAACTTTGGAATGGTTTTGTCAGCAAGGCGAGGGTTTCTGCATGCATGTATTTTCTAGTATAATCATAATTTGCCTTCGTGCAAAATCTAAACAAGGCAAGGACAGCCAAGGTTCTATACTCCATACTGACCATACGGTAAAATCATACGACATAGCTATGAGGTATATGGCATGCCTTATTCTGTTTAGATACCTGTATATGTTATACATTTTACACTTTGTCTTTTGAATTTTTATATTTTAGTCGACATGCAGGTTTACACTTGTACAATGTATTAATCGTGTGCGATGCCGTTTGTTTTTACCGCATTTATTTTTAAATTTTTGAACAAATTAGCTAACATGTCAATCAACATATTATCAACGTAAATTCAGCCAATCACAATTCTCGGTAGCTGGCTGCCGAGAGTGACCAATTTTACTAGTGCTTTCAGGCAGGCTCTTCTTCAATTCTCAGCCCTATAGAAGAGTCGACCACACTGGCTACCACAAAACGCGCAAGCTGGATAATGATTTAATGATTCATTTTACAAAATACGGGCCCTACCAATGGAAGGATGTAAAAGCTAGTACCTCAACTCAAGTCACAACAAACACAGTACAAATCAAGTTCGCATCAAAAACAGTACGTAAAAGTACGTTAAAAGTTTGATTAGAAACCTTCTAAATGAGGCGAGATTACTAAAACTACTAATCGGTGCAACTTTACATATAGAGTTCTACATCCTAACAATACGATTAAAATATGAGGCTTTAAAAGTACTTGTTTTAGAAAGTGGAGTTTCCCTGGAGTTCCCCTCCTGCCTCTTATCTATTGTATTGTGCTTCTCGATTTCAATTGATTCTCACATTTTGCGTGAGAACTTATGACTATGTCAATCGCCAAAATGGTTGCTTTGTCCCATCTTATACGATAGTTGTAAGTCCAAGTATGTTTAGCCACTGACAGCCGATTTATCTTGCTAGGCTCTCTCGCAATTCATCCTATGTTTCTTAATTAAGACCGGTATTGAGAGATTTCGACCAGGTTCACCAATATAAACTGGACCACATTCACAAGGAATGCGGTACACACCAGGTTTCTGAGACTCATTCACGTTGTCATTATATTTGCAAAGATCTCGAAACAATTTGTTTTCACTGATACTTTGGACTACCAGTCTCTACCGTTTTAAGTATATTTGAGACAGAAAGGATTTCAAAAGTGTCATAATTTCTGATACTTTGGACTATCAGCCTCTGCAGTTTTAAGTATATTTCACATAATAATAGGGGATTTGAAAAGCATCAGAATTTCTGATACTTTGGGCTATCAGTCTCTGCAGTTTTAAGTATATTTGACTTACAGAGGATTTAAGTGTCAGAATTTCTGATACTTTGGACTACCTGTCTCTACAGTTTTAAGTATATTTGAGATAGAGAGGATTTCAAAAGTATCAGAATTTCTGATACCTTGGAGTTTGGACTACCAGCTTCTGCAGTTTTATGTATATTTCACATATACGGGGTTGGAAAAGTATCAGAATTTCTGATACTTTGGAATACCAGTTTCTGCAGTTTTAAGTATTTTTGAGATACAGAGGCAGTGGCGTAACGCAACCGCTGGGGGCGCTCCGTCAATCGGCCACTTTGGGGCCCTTTGCTACACTAAAAATAGGCTCCAAAAATTTTTCTCGGAACAATTTATTTTTGGCGACCTCCCATCCCCCCCCCCGTCGCCAAAAAATTTTCGGACATTGTACCATTCTAGGGGTCCAAAATTTTTTCCGGACATACCCAATGAAATTGCAATTAATTCATTCTAGTATCTCGTCCTTTACCTCAGCCGCGACGTACTTAATCCGTCGCAGCTTCGGGAAATTTCTCGACGGATTTTGCCTTTTCCAGACGGAATGGGTTTTTTTTATTCAATTCAATTCAATTAATTCAATTCCCCAGAAATGTGCTATCAAATTTTTTAAGGTCATTTTTGTTGGGGCCCCCTAAAGTTCGGGGGCCCCCCGTCTCTGGACACCCTGACACCCTCCCGTTACGCCACTGTACAGAGGATTTTAAAAGTATCAGAATTTCTGATACTTTGGAATACCAGTTTCTGCAGTTTCAAGTATATTCCACATATAAGGGATTTGGAAAGTATCAGAAATTCTGATACTTTGGACTACCGGTCTGCAATTTTAAGTATATTTGACATAGAGTACCAAGGAGTTCAAATGTATCAGAATTTCTGATACTTTGGACTACCAGTCTGCAATTTT